TGTTATGGCCTTGTACTCATCTGCAGAGATGTGGACGGAAGGGGGTCGATTGTCACTGGGGAGGCCGGGAAAGCTGACGAGAGAGTAGCGGGAGTGAGGCGGACGCGAAGATCGACCCGCCGGCCGCTTGTTCTCCGCCATATCATCGGCGGGGCGCGCAGTAGCCATGGTTCTTAACCACAACAAAATGCGGATGTGACCAGGTGTTGATACCGGCCGGTAGAAGGATAGATTTGGTCAAAGAATTGTCGATCGCTCTCCAAGATTATTAAGTTGCAAAGATTAAGATAGAGACTCAGGTGGAATGTGATGTCGACCTTCAGAATGTGAAATGACACAAAGACGCAAGACGCATCCACTTTTACCACATCTTGTTAGTGCTCATCAAGTGTGATCAAGTGCTGTAAACATCCAGTGCAATAGAACATGAATCGTAATGAACTTGCAGATGTAATCTATATGGTAACCAGGCATGAATGTCGGCGAAGAGAATTCCCCTCGAGGCTCCCGCTCCGTTGCCCATCATCGGTGATCAGGTGAAACTAACCCCGAAATGGTGAAAAAGGGAATCGGTTGAAGTCAAGGCGTCTTTAAGTTGACAAGACGTCAATGAATGCGAGTATGTCAATTGAAAGTCCGGCCCGTCTGTCAAAAGAACTCCCCGATACCCTAAAAGAGAAAAAACGGAAAAACAAAAACAAAGTGTGGCCGCATAAAACTTTCGGGTTCGTATCAACGCGTCGTAAAGTCTATTTGAATTTGCCCGGAGATTCCCGGAGGTTAGGTGGGAAGAAAAGAGGGTGTAGGGCGCTGAGAGAGACTGCCCTGACATGGGAATCTGTCGGGAGACCTGGGAATCTGTCGTCATGCAGCCTGATGAAGTAACCGGTCTACCGGATGCTGTTGAGGAACGCTAAGATGACAGCATAAACTCAATGGTGCGCTAAACCTATCGTGGTAAGAGATGGCGATTCACCTTATTTCGACATCCCTTTACCCACTTTATGCTACTTGAAAATCACAAGTAAAAACAATAACACTATCGAGGTGCCACAACGACCGGATCAGTTGAACGTCCCTGCGCAACAGAGAGCGCGTGGTCTGCGCTCAGGGGCCGGTGGATGTGCATGCAAGCACTTAGTGCTGCTGTCGTGCAGATATTATCGTTCGTAGGTCGAACCAAGAAATCACACTTCCGGTAGTCAAAATTGTTTAATTCAAATCAAATAACGTAGATCAATTGAATTGCTTCGCGGGACCTTCTTCGATGTTTACATTGGCCATTTAGTGACCCTGTTCAAATTGACGAGTGACTAACTTCACCCAAAGCGGATGCTTGTCCCAAATCCCATAACTATTCTGATCCAACCACTTGAAGTCGGGGTCAGCCAGCTCAAGATCGAAGTTGTACAGCAGGCTGGTTATGATGAGCCTCATCTCGGGATATGCAAGGCTGCGTCAAATGTAGTCAGTAATCACGGCTCGTCACACAGAGGGACAAGACACCCAAGAATAAAGAATAGACACGAGAATTTGACTCACTTCTTGCCAATACAATCTCTTGGGCCCGCGGAAAACACCTTGACGCAATCTTTCCGATCATCAGTATACTTGGCGGGCCGGTCGTCGTCGCTCAACCACCGCTCCGGTACAAATTCCTCTGGATCAACAAAATTGTCTGGATGATGCGCAATGGCATACAGCGGAATGTCAACGCGTGTACCCGCGGGCACGTAGCGTTCGCAGATGACACGTCCCCCTTGGGGTATCATGCGCGGCATAGGCGTTGGCGCAGGTGGATAGAGACGCATGGCTTCCTCAATGCACGCGTTAAGATACGGCAGCTTTCGCAGATTGGTGAATGTAATGTCTTCCTGCGGATTCTTGATGGCAGTATCGAGCTCAGCGCGCAGCGTGGCCATCTTGGTCGGGTGAGTGAGCAGCAGGTAGCTCAGGGCTGACGTAGCAGCCGTGGTAGTCTCGGTCCCACCGATCATGAACGTTGCAGCATTGGAATACATCTCGGCGCGCGAGATGCCTGGTCGCTTCTCATCGCCGCTGCTTTGCATAATCATCGACCAGATGTCGCTACCTGAGTCGTCGCCGCGGTCCAGGCGCTTATCAACGCGATCCATGGAGAAGCGATTGTGCCGGGCGCGGCGCTTACCACTGCTTCCCCAGATAGATCTGAGGAGCAGCGGGCCCAGGGGTGGGTGCCAACCCATCATTGCCATGCCGAGCGTGACCGTCTTGATGGTCGAGTACGTGTCGCGAACCCACTGGCGAGCAGACTGGTCGTTATCGAGCATGCCGAGAGGCTCGCCGTACATAAGGTCGCCCATGATGTCAAAGGCCAGGTAACTTAGCCAGGTCACGAGATCCACGCGGCCACGAGAAGAAGCAGGCTCGGCATCCTCATCGGCTAGCTTGCCCATCAAGTTGTGGACATGGCCCTGGACGAGGCTCTGTTGCTTGAGCACAGCACGATCGGAAAAGGCATGCGAGAAAATCCGCCGCTGCCGCTGGTGGTTGGTATCGTCGGCACGCACGATGCCCTTCTCGGGCGCCGCCATGTCCGGCCCCAGTCCGACAAAGTCTTTGGGTATGTCACCCCCACCTCCCGCCTTGGCATAGATGTCGTGCCAAGCATCCGGGTGGGTGTAACTCAGCTCATTGGGGCCGATGCGGACAATGTGACCGTACCTTTTGTGCAGGAATAGTAGCCAGCTGTGGTTGGAGCCATTGCCGCGGTGCCAAAGTGAGTAAACGGTGGTTACGCGTCCGAGCAGAGGGCCTGGGTATCCCGCCAGGGGATGGAGGGTCAGGTAGTAGATGGTGCGTAACACGAAAACTCCGAAGATGGCCAGACCGATGGTCCAAAGGAGCTTCGGAAGGTCCGGCAGGTTGGACATGTGAAAGTTGAAAGGTATGCCAAGAATCATTTTGTCCGCGTTGGTGGATCCTAGATCGAGGTGCTGGGTATGTTCTCACTCTTGGCTGCTGCTTGTTGCTGTTCCTGCACGTGTTAGTTATTCTCCGTACGGTAAGGCGAGTACGAGAGAAGAAGATGAAGAGAGTCAGTCGTCTCTGCTCAAGGTCGTGGACATGACAATGGTAATCACGAGTTCGCCTGATGACGGCAGAATTATGACGCAAGCAAGGCGAAAGCGAAATGGAATAGGATTTCCCCGACATAAGTAAACTATGGCACGGGGAGGCTGCCGGAGTCCGACGCCGAAAGTGCCGTCAATCACAAGGCCGAGGAAGCCGACAGCTGTTCGGGCATTGGGGTGAGTGCTTTCGGTCTTCTTCCTTGGTTGACCAACGGCCCTGGAAGCTTTCTCACGCAACTTCCTGAACTGATACCTCTTCCCGTCTGCATGAAGTGGCTTAATTACTCTCAGTTGCGAGTGCCGGGCAGAACTAGTTATTAGTAGGTGCGCCGACTCGTTACGTCAAGACGGCATCTTGGTGGGTCTTTAGACCTGCCTCGACCTGTGCCTTGCGCAGGTCAAAGTTCGGAGAAAAGGCTTTTGCCAAGGGCCAAGGCGTAACGTGTCAGCGCTCGGACGACGTATATCCAGCGGAACGATCGTGTTCGTTTTGTTTTTTCCTTCTTTTTTAACCTTTCGGATTACTACCAGGTCTCTGGAACCATGGCGTTGATGACAGGGAACATCCATCGTGCACGAGCATGATCGGAGCAGAATCGCCGTGCACACCTAACCTGGCCATGAAGTAAGTGGATGTTCGGACGGTGGCTGGCCGCCGGGGAACTACCGACCCAGATTTGCCAGGGTTAACCGGACAACGGCGTCATTTGTTTGTGCCGGTCCGATGGGGACATCATCTAATACAGAACATTTCCAAATTGGAACAAAAGTGCGAAAATGCCTATGAGGTTATTTTCCAGTTGGGATTACGTGGGACACAAAGTTCGACGCGCTGGAATGCGCATACTACACCGAGAAGTTGGAAAACAATGCCTTTCCTGCCGTGCCAGCGTCATACATATAGATGTAAACACATCGTCCCTGCAAAGTCCATGAAGACCCAAAGCTGTCAGAACCAAGTCATTGGATACATGATCTTTACGAATAACGAAGCCAACTCATCATCGTCAGCTATCTGAAAGCGTTGCCACAGCCTGCCTATTTACCTTCTTCTAATAAAATTAATTCCTACTTTGTTTCTCGGTAGCTCTGGTAGCTCCATTCACTGCCATGTCTGCCTTTCACTACCCGCCGTCGCCGCCTCTGCCTCCGACCCCACCCAGAACCCCTCCTTCTTTGAAGAGTCCACAAGAGGATGTGGACATGGGCTTGAGGTCGCCATCGCCTCTGCCCTCAAGGTCCCTCACTGTTCCCCAACTGTCAGCTGAAGGCGTCTTGACGCCACCAATTACTCCGGTGAAGACACTACATCCCATGAACACAACCTCCTCGACAATTATCAACTGCCCTATTTCAAAGGCCAGCTTCCTGCTTGCCCAGGCTTCTTTGGCGACTGAGCTATCTGGAGCCTCATCAATGACTGAGTTCAATCTCCGAAGCCAAGGGTCACTCCCAGCCGGAACACGAACACTCCAGTTCGGCCCTGGCCTTGATGGATGTTTTAACCGCACCAGAGGGTTTCTGGGAGGTCGAGAATCAACTCAAAGCCGCACCGCTAGTAGCAGGGCCTCCCCCATACGCTCGGGTCAACGCCTGCCAGTGTCCCTGGAGCCATGGGAGGCGGTTCATGGAAATCTGCCCCTGCTTCTCAGAGCGGGACGAGTGCGTGAAGCTGTCGACGCCCTGGGCAATCGTGCGGAAAGAGTCATAGATGCATGGGATGACTTGGAACCGCGTCACCTGGCTCGGGCGGCGCTAATTCTGAGCGCGCTGGCCCACGCGTACATGTTTGGTGAGGAACAAGGCAAGGGAAAAGACGGACAGTCTCTGGTCCCGCGCCATATCCTTGCTACGTGGGAGAGGGTTTGCGAACGATTGGGTAGAAGCATGACTGGTCGGGTATGTACGGATCCATGTCCTCCAAACACACCACCCACACAAAGAACCATAGCTGACTCTCTACGGCAGGTGCCCGCTGATGATGTTCTGAACAACGCTGTGGGCGACAAGTACTTCAGTCTGAAGAGTACCTACTTTGGCCTGCCTGAGGAGCGGCTCTCTTCGGGGCTCCAGGGCAGGATGGAGGGCGTTTTTGCGCCCGCGCTATCGTCGATGGCGCTCGCGCAGAATAGCGTGCTAGCCAACCAGCCCGACCAAGTCGCGCGGTGTCTAGAGAGCGTGGCGGCACGTATCGTAAAGTGCGCCCACGTCTTCGACGCCATGACTCCACGCGATACTGCGAACTTTGACCCTGTCGTCTGGATAAAGACCTATCCCGCTATGGGTCGCGCGGTGACGTCCGGAGAGTTGGGAAACAGTGGCGTCGATGCACCGCTATTCCATGCGCTGGACGTCTTTATCGGTCGCCAACAGGTCAAGGGTGATTTGAGAGGGATGCAGAGCGACCGACGGGCCACGCTACCGACCAATATTCGCGCCTTCTTGGATGCCCTTGGGGATGACGCCGGAAGCGTCAGAGATTACGTCGCCGCTGCCCGTGCCCAGCTAGAACATGTTCCCTCCGAAGAGCAGGCGCAGTACAAACATCTCTCCGCGGCCTGGGATGGGCTTTTGCAATTGTACGTCTGGTTTCTCGAACGGCACCGCGTCAAGGCCGTTGGCATCACGGGCGTAACCCTGAATACGGGGCGACATTCGACCAGCAGCGGCGTCAAGAGCGGCGACCAAGACAAAGCCATGAAAGATGGAAAACCAAAGATGCGCCCCGAGGCCATGCTTAGCATGCAGATGAAGAAGGGCATGGTTTCACGACTGGGCGGTCGCCCCCTATGGCAGGATGCGCATGTGCAGTCGCACAGCGTCTATCGCGGAAGCGTGGTGGTGGCCGTGAAGTTGGATGCAACTTTGCCGCTCGAGCCAGGTGATCGAGTCCAAATCTGGCCGCCGAGAAAGAGAAAGACGCTGAACAGAGCATCCTCACACCATCGACGGTTGCGAGGCTCACCTTGCCCAGAAGATTATGATACCTCGTCAGGCGAGAGCGATGATGATGGCGAGCCGAGGTTCTACTCCATCGCCCGTGTCATCCCAAACGTTTCCAGTACAGCGATGGATTCTGTAGGAGGAGCAGGAGGCATGACCATCATTCTGACAGTCGCTCAACACTCGCCCGAGGGGCTGGTATCCTCGTTCCTCAGCAGCGCTGCGCCAGGCACACATCTGCGCCTTCGGCCTTGGCCTTCTCCCCGATTCCGCCAGCCCCGCGACCTAGCCGTGCCGCTGGTTCTTGTTGGCCAGGGTGTGGGTATCGGCCCCTTGGTTGGCTTTCTGCACGACCGCGCCACAAAGAAACAGCGCCTCGATGATACCCAAAACGAAAGCGCCGGGGAGGGAGAGCTGCTCCTTGTGGTGGCTGCCAAAACACTTCGCCACGTCCCCTGTTCACTCGACAGCCTGGAGGAACTTACCAGTAGGCTGCCACTGACCATAGTCTTGGCTCTCAGCCAGGAGACTCATCTGAAGATCCGTGGCGGAATCTGGACAAAGCTCCCCCAAGGGGGCCGACGTGTGACGCGTCATTTGACAGACTATCGAGACTTTATCCAGCGTCTTGTGAAGGAGAAAAAAGGTCATGTCTTTGTCTGCGGTAGCTCTGACTTTGGGGTTACGGTGATGAATACTCTTGGACTGGGTCAGTTGCCACAGCAGCAGCAGCAGCATCAAGAAGGCCCCCAACCACAACAAGCAAATGACGGACCCGACGATGGCAGCCCTGTTCACATACCCTCACCTCCCCCGCATTGGAATCAGTTGCACCAAGACCTCTTCACCATGGTCAAAAAACCAAACCGCTCAACACCCTCCTGCTCACCCACCGCATGCCGTTCGGCCTCGTCAAGTGGTCCTAAAGGTCCCATTATCAGCCTCTCAAAACTTGCAGCCCATAACTCTGTCAAATCATGCTGGATCGCCATCGGCGGAACAGTATACGACATGACACCTTTCCTGGCATTTCATCCTGGCGGCCCGAAAACGCTTCTTGAGTCAGCAGGCACCATTGCAGACGAACGGTTTGCTGAAACACACGGCGGCCCGCATGCCCAGGAAATCAGGGGCTATCTCGAGAGGCACGCAATCGGGCGTCTGTCTACAGCTACCACGGAACTTGGCAGGCAAACGACTACGGCAAAACTCGTCAAAGCCCTGGTGAGAATGCAAAACGCGCTCACCAACAACACTGCTTTTGACGCAGGCCGTGGATCAGTACCCACATACGCGTACGAGGATTCCTTGCTCGTATTCGCCGACGGCCTGGACGGCTTGATATGCAGTTTATCGGACTTCGGCACTGATAAGAGTGCCTCGGAGTTGAGAGAAACCATTTCAAACACCCAGGCGTCACTCAGAAACGCTTTCAAGGCCCTGAAAGACGGGTCCAAGCGTTTTTTAATGGCTGCTGGCACGAAGGGCGCCTCTGCCTCATCCTCAACCCTGCTGGACGAGAGCGAGGCGTTGATCCAAAGGCTGCACAGAAAGCCCATCGAAAAGTTACATGCGGCTGTGAATGCTTGCAAGAAGGGTATCAGTGAGGCTGAGGTTGGGATGAATGACGACAGCAGTGCCAAGGTTTGCGATGCCTGTTATGACGAAAATGGTGATGCACTGAAGCGTGTTTTGGAGGGTTTCTGTATCAGCCTGACAAGCGTTGCTAAAGACTTGCTCACGTCACCGCGTTGGCCATCGATGTCGGCAGATCCGCCGAGCCTGAACAAGAGACCCTCGGCTGAGAGGAAGATCTCAGCGCAACGAAACTTGCGATGTCAGGCGTAACGTTTTCAGTTTTGTGATATTTAAGTCACTAGACCTACATTAGAGTAGCATGCCTGCCTATAGCAATAGAGACATAGTTCTTAATCACTATTTGTTTTGCTTAGATCTCTATAATAACTAACAACCTACCTAAATATAGCCTCTTATCTTACTAAAGAATATATAGCTAATAGATTTATTGCTTATGCGCTATGTTTTCTAATATTAATATAAAACCTTAGAGTATCTATAAACTTAATTAACATTTATATAACGTTTTTTATTATTTGCTTTATTATTATGTTAATACCTTATACTACTTATAAAAAGTAGTCTTTAGATCTTAATATATTAATAATAATAGCTTAAAGTAGAAGCTATTAAAATCCTCACTAAAAATTAAGTAGGTCTATATAGATAGGAGGTAGAAGCTATTATTTTCTAATAGTAAAGAAACTATTAAGATTTTCTATAATAAAATATATAGAAATAAGATATAATTAAAGCTTAAATAAATATAATTATAATAATTTAGTTCTTAGTTTAATACTTAGTAAAGTAAGTTTAGAAATTAATAAATAGTATAGTTAATACTTTTATAATATAGTTTTAAACTTTATATTAACTAGTTAATTATATAATAAAGATATTAATTAAACTAGAAAGTTTAACTAACTAATAAAATATAGTTAGAGAAGAAAGTAAATTAAAGAAAAAGTATATAGAATTAAAAAGTAAAAAAGTAAAGTTATAAAGAGAGAATAAAAGAAATTATTTTATAATAATAAATTAAAGTAAGCTATCTATATAAGTAAATATAAAGCTATTTATTTATAATATTTAGTATTTTACTCTAATATATATATTATATTAGTATATAGTAGTAATAAATAAAATTATAGTATATTTATAGAACTATTATTAGTTAATTACTATTAAAGCTAGAGAGAAAGTAGCTAAATTAGTTAATAATATTCTTAGTATTATTTATAACTAAGCTAATTTATAATTATTTTAATACTTAAACTTTATAGTTAAGCTAATTATTAATATTATATTACTTTAAATAAATAGTTTATATTACTATATATATTATTATATTTATTACTATATATAAAATATATAGGAGTATTATTAAGTAGAATATAAATAAAAGAATAATTAGTATAAGGGGAGTAATATTTATAAAAAAGCTATTATAGTTAGGGATTTACTATAAATAATAGAAGTATTATATTAGTAGTTTTTCTTAATATAAATTATAAGTAGATAGTTTAAAGTAGTTTAAAGATAAATAGTTAATAAGTTTTTATAAAATACTCTACTATTATATCCATAACAGCTATATATTAAAGCTATTATAGCTACTACTAGGATTAAAAGTAAGGCTAAGAAGAGGGGGGGTTAAAGCTAGTATATAGAGGGGGTATAAAGCTATAGAGATTCCCTAGAGTAAAATAAATAAAAGTAGTATATAATTAAAGCTATAAACTAAGTTATTATAGGAATTTAGTTTTTAATATTATATTTTATTATTTAAGTCTAGAAATAGGGAAATAAAGTAGTAGATATTTTTATAATATTATTCTAATCTCTATATTAACTAGCTAATTATATAATAAGACTATTAAAAAGCTTAACTAAGCGATAGAATATAAATAGGGAGGAAAGTAGATTAAAGAAAAAGTATATAGAATTAAAAAATAAAAAAGTAAGTTTATAAAGAGAGGATAAGAGGAATTAATTATAAATAGTAGATAAAAGAAAGTAATTAATATATATAGCTAAAAATAAAGCTATTTATTTATAATATATAATATTCTATTTTAATATATATATTATATAAATATATAGTAGTAGCTAATAAAGTTATAATATATTTATATAATTACTATTAATTAATTATTATTAAAACTAAAATAGAAGTTATTAAATTAGTTAGTAATATAACTAATATTATTTATAGCTAAGCTAAATTAAAGTTATTTTAATACTTAGATATTATAGTTAAACTTATTACTTATATTATACTACCTTAAGTTAATAGATTATATTACTATTTATATTATTATATATATTGCTATATATAGAATATATAAAAGTATTACCAAGTAGAATATAAATAATAAAATAATTAGTAAAAAGGGGGTAATATATAAAAAAAAGCTATAGTAGTAAGAGATTTACTATAGATAATAAGGGTATTATATTAGTAGTTTTTCTTATTATATATTAAGAGCTAGTAGTTTAAGGTTAAATAAGAGTTAGAAGTAGCTATTAGAAATAAGCTATTAAAACTAAAGATAGATAATATAATATAGTTTATTATATTATATAATAGCTAATGAAAGCAGTTTAAAGCTAATATATATAAGAAAATTAATATAGTAGATAAAAAGTTAGAGCTAAATAGGTAGTTATATTATATTAAGTAGATAAGGGATTTAAAAAGGTTAAATAAGATATAGTTATAAAAAACTATATAATTAATTAAGGATAATAAGGAGATATTATAGTTTATATAAGCTATATTTAATAATATTACTAATAAAGTATATATAATAGTAGCTTTATATAAAGTTAAGTATAATATATTATTTAAAGTAGAATAGAAAGAGATTAGCTAGAAGCTAGTATAGCTATTTAATAACTATATAGAGGATAATATATAATAATAATATAAAGAGGTTTAATATAAAATAATAAGTATATAGTTTTATATAGATAAGTAGCTAAACTATAAGCAGCTATTATATTAGTTTATTATATATTAGAGGTTATTATAAAATATATTTATTAGTTATATTATAATAGATATTAGTAGTAAGTAAGCTATATAAGTAGAAGAGGTTAAGAGGATATATTTAGACGCTATTATTACTATTATTAAGGATCTATATAAATAGAGTTAGAAGGAGAGCATAATAATTAATATATTAGTAGTATTAAGTATTTATAAAAATAATAAGTAGCACTAAGTAATAAAGTATATAATAAATTATTTAGCTATAATTAAGGTAGCTAAAATGTTTATTATATATTAAGTATAAATAAAGTAATAAGATAAAGTAGTAGTATTAATAGTAACTAAAGGAGCTAAAGTAATATATAAAGTAGCTAGTAGTATATTCTATTTAGTATATAATAAAATATAATAGTTTATAATATAAATATTTAGCTAGCTAGATAATAAGCTTAAAATAATAAATTAAATTTATAATATATATATATATAGGATATATATTTAGTTTAATATAGTAGTGCTAAGGATAGTAGATTAGAGTAGTAATTAGATATTATTCTAATAAGTATAAGTATAAGTATATAAGTTAGCTAAGATATTTTATAAGTTAGTATAAGAGGTATAGTTATTATTAGTATAATTAGTAATAATAGATAGGTATAAAGATAGGGATAATAATCTTAAGAGGGATAGGTATAATAATAAATATAGAGGCTAATTAGTATTAATAGTAATATTACTTATTATTAAGTAGGATAGTATATATAATAATTATAGCTAAGATTAGCTAAGGTATTTATTTTTATATAATAATTATAATAAGGTATAGGTAAGTAAGAAGAAGAGGTAAACTATATAATATATTATAAAGTTAGAGGTATAGTAATAAGTATAGTTAAACCTAATATAAAAAGTAGTAGTAATAGTAGTAATAATAATAAGAGAAGTAGAAGAAGTAATATCTAACTATAGTAATAGTTACTACTTATATTATAAGAGAATAATATAAGTATATAGATAAGTATTAGAATTATTTTAGGAGTAGTTATAGATATTAATATATATAGTAGTAAAGTAGCTAGTATAAACGCTTAAGTTAGTAGGTATTAGATATAGTAATATAGCTAATAATAAAGTTAAGAATATATTTATATATAACAGTATAATTTATTTTATTATATTATACTATAAGAATTACTATTAAATAGGGATAGCTAAAATAATATATTAATATTTACTATATAAAGTTAGTAAGTTATTAATATAGTATTTATAGTTAGTATTATTATTTTAGTAGTAAGTAGGAGGTATTATCTATTAGATAGACTAAAAAAGTATATTTTTATAAGTAAATAATATAGTTATAAAGAGTAGAATAATAAGTAAAGCAAACTATAATAATATTAAAAGTAATAAATACTATAATAATATTAAGGATAATAATACTTATAATAATACTAAGGATAATAATACCTATAAGAACATTATTATAAATAAGAGCGCTAATACTACCTTTAGCTAAGCGCTATAGATAGATAAATAGTTATAAACGTTAGATAAAGCAAAGTAGATTATATAATAATATAGTAAGCAGTTAGTTAGTAATAAGATTAATATTAGTAAGTAGTAATATATAGCTATTATTATTACTAATTAGTATTTAAATAAGGTGTTTAAGTAAGTAGATAATAAAAATAATAATAATAATAATAATAATAATAATATAAGTATTAAGGATAATATATTAGATTTATAGGCTAGGTATAATATATATATAATAAGGATAATATATAAGTAGTTATATTAAGAGGTATTATTTAGCATAATAGTATTATAGGATAGGTTTTAAGCTATTAGCTAATAGTAGTATTAGTTATTAGGGTTTAAAGTAGAGGACTAAAGTAGTAAGGCACCTACTAAGCAGTAATAAATAGTAATAATAGTAGCAGATAAGGAGTTTAAAAAGTAGTAATAGCAGTAATTTATATAGTTATAGTTAGCTAATACTAATAAGTAGTTATAGTAAATAATAGGGAACCTATAAGTAGTATTTTATAGCTAATAAGAGTAAGTTATCTAGTTAATTATACGTAAGGATAACTTAATTATATAAGTAATAAGTATAAATAGTAGTAAGAGTTTATTATTTATATTACTAATATATTATATACTAAATAGGGTGATAATTATTATAATATTATTAATAGCGTTATATATTAATATAGATATATAGTATTTAAGGTTAGGGTTAATATTAATAATATAGTATAGTAGTAAGTAAGCTAATATAATAGTAATAATAGTAATATTTATAACGCTTAAGTTAGCTATTATAGAAGGATTTTAAGATTTTATTAGGTATTTATAGTAGTAGTAATAGTTAGACTAAGTAGTATTAGATAAATACTATATTATATTAGATAGGTTAAAGAGGTTCTAGTTAGTATTATAAGTATTAAAGTAAATAGTATAAGAGTTTAAAGTGTAGTTAGTATATTTAATAGTAATATTACTACTAATAGAGGAGTAAGAGTTTTTTATTATAATAAGGATCTAACTAGAGTAGATATAAATATTTTATAAAGTAATAATATAGAGGAATATTAAGTATAAAGTTATTATTATTATATTAAGGTTAAGAAGTAGGAGTTATAGTTATAATTATAATATAGTAAGCTATAGGTATTAAGCTAAATTAAAGTTAAAGTTAGGGTTAAATTAAGAGGATAAGGATAATAAGTTAAACACTATTAAAAAGCATAATTATTAAGAGGTTAAGGATTAGTTATAATAAAAACTATATAAAAAGGTAGTAATATATAGTAGTATAATTAAAGGTATTAAGTAGATAGCTAAAGCGTTAGGATATATAGTATTCTATAGTAGTATTAGTAGTATAGAGGATAAAATATTAAAGTTAGAAGTATAAAAAAAAGGTAATAGTATAAATAAAAGTATTATTATAGTAATAAATATATTAAGGTTAGGAATTAATATACTAAATATATAGATAGTAATCTATATAGGTATACTATAATAATTATAAGATTTTATTTAAGAGAGTAAGTATATTAAGTAAAATAAATACTTAAGTTAGTTAGTTATTATATATAATAAAATAGCTATAGAGGAGAAAGAAGTAGAAAAAAAAATAAGAGAGATAGAGAAAGATAAGAAAGTAGCTAAAGAGAGGTAAAAAGTATTAATAAGGATATATATTAGGAGAGAGGTATACTAATAGATTATATTAGATAAAGTTATAAATAGGTAAATAGATTATTTAAAATATAAAGAAAGTAAAGAAGTATATAATATATATTAATAAAAAGTATTAGAAGTAATATAAGTAGATAATAAGGATAAATATAAAACTAGAGATAATAAAGAGATTAAAGCTATATTTAAGAGTAGTTAGTAAGCTAAGTAGTTTTATTAGTAATAAGCTAAAGTAAAATATTTAAAATTAAGAGAGGAAGGAGAAATATTTAAATAATAGTTAGTATAATAAATAAAATAATATATATATTATAAAATATATTATAGAGAGAGTAATAAGTATATATTAGATAATTATTTAAACTATAAGGAGTAAGTATAAAAATAGATAATATAATATAAAAAGTAAATAGAAGAGGCTATATTTAATAAATAGATAATAGAGAATTTTAATAGTTATTTTTATTATAGATTATTATAAAGTTAATATTAATAATAAGAGCTATTTAATAAGGATAATAAATAGTTTAAAGAGGTTAAAAGCAGTTTATATTAATATAAAGGGTTAATTATTAAGATATTTATTATTATAATAATTAGTATAAAGTTAAAAGTATATAAAGAGATAATAAGAGTAATATATAGAGTAAATAGGTTAGAAGTATAAGTATTAAGTAAGAAGGAGGTATATATATAGTTAGAGTAGATAATCTAATAGAGAGAGGTATAATTAAGTAAGTTATATTAATTAATAAGTTAGTTATAATAAAAAGTAATAGAAAGTATAATAAATAGATAATAAAGTAAAATAAAATAAAATAAATAGGAGTAATATATAAAAATATTATAGTTAGAGAAAAAGGAGTAGAGAAGTATAATAAAGAAATAGAATAGAGAATAAAGTATTAGATATTTT